GTAGAGATGAGGTCTCGCTGCCCAGGCGGGTCTCGAACCCACGGGCTCAGGCAATCCACTCACCTCAGCCTCCCAAAGGCGCGGGATTACAGGCTGAGCCACCGAGCCCGGCTAACATTTAATTTTCAAGTTCACTCCAGCCAAAGGAACATTCAGTGAGAGGCCGGCCTCTTGTCTTTTCCCTAGCTGGTATACTGACCCCAATTGGCTTCAGATTCCTTACACACAAACAAGACATTCATGTGATAATATACGTGATTTCCCCATTCCTGAAACGGCTGAGACCTGAGACATGACACCCTGCTGAGTGCTATCAGAAACAGGAATGGAGCCATAAAGAGTTATAAATGTTCAGTGAGAATTATTTCACATCAGATTTGCCTTCATTTGACTTAGAATACAGTTTTAGGCCCAATCTGTTTTAATCTGGTAAAAAAACAAGAATAGACCATAACATTGCCAAGGATATCAGTTTCCTGGAAGGAACATAAACAATGCCTCAAGAATGGTACATTCCTTTTTATTTTTAAAAATTCTATTATTATTATCATTTGAAGTTTGAGGGAAAATGCTTACTCCCTTGAGCTGAGCTTAAGTTTAATAAACTCTACCAATCGTCTCATAGAAATGAATGGAAAGAAACATTCCAAAATATCATCAAAGTTTATCTCTACATGATGAGATTACTGTATGCTTTTCTAAAATTTCTAAAGTGCTTTATCTTCAACTTTTTATTTTGAAAAATTTCAAACCCACAGAAAAATTTTAAGGTTTGGCCAGTGAACACTAACAAACCCTTCACTTAAGCAAATGCTAAAATTTTGCAACATATGCTGTGTGTGTATATATACACTCCTCATAATCTTTTTGTAGAATATTTGGAAGTCAAGTTGTACACGTCTTCACCCCAAAATACTCAAACTCGTTTCTGCTAAGAACAAGAACATTCACTTAACCACTACATAATACATTCAGGAAATTTAACATTGATGTTCCAGTAATCTTTTTTTTTTGAGTTGGAGTCTCACTCTGTCACCCAGACTGGAGTGCAGTGGCATGCTCATGGCCACGGCAGCCTCGACCTGCTGGGCGATCCTTCCGCCTCAGCCTTCCAAGTAGCTGGAACTACAGGTGTGTGCCACCAGGCCCAGTTAATTTTTTTGATTTATTGTAGGGACAAGGTCTCACCGAGTTGCCCAGGTTGGTCTCGAACCCCTGGGCTCAGGCAATCCTCTCACCCTTGGCCTCCCAAAGTGCTGGGATTACAGGCTTGAGTCACTGCGCTTGACCTCAGTAATCTTTTTAATAGTCATTTTTCCTACCAATCTAAAATCCAGTCCCAAAACACAAACCACACAGTTTCCAGTCTCTTTCAGATGCAACAGTTCATCAGCCCTTGTCTCATGGCACTGCCATTTGTGAAGAGTGCACTGCAGTTATGGGTAGAATGTGGTAAGTACAGTGGGACCATCTGCTTGCCCTTGATGATCAAGTTCAGCTGATACAGTTTTGGTAAGAACACTACAGACATGACACTGCATCTTCAGTGATGGAAGGCAGTAATGGCCACCTGGCTAAGTTGGTGCATGCCACATTTCTCCAATGTAAAGGTGCTCTTTCTACTTTGTAACTGATAAATTATCAATGGAGTGAGCGTCTGAGACTGTGTAAATATCCTGTTCCCCAGCAGACCCGTACCTGATGACTCTTGCTGAAACAATTGTTATTTCACATGACAACTTTCAGACTCTACAATTCCTTCTACAGTTTTCAGTTGATATTCCACTGTAAAGAAGACCTTTTTCTTTCCTCTCTTCCATTTATTTGTTTGTGTCTCAGTATGTGTTCATGGAGTCTTCTCTTGTTCAATATGTTATACTCACTACCGTCATCATTCACTGTGGTATTCATATTGTACCAGATTTGGCCAGTAAGTACTCTTTTGAGCTGACTCCTGTGTCTTTTTGAAATGTGCTCATTTATCCATCTGTGCACAGCTCTGAAGTCCTAACTTCTTCTAGGGGTGAATGGCATTTGGAAACCAAGATCAGATGTGCTGGTGCCAGGTGCCATCATTTCTAGGCCTATGCATATAAAAATACCGTACACATACTTTTTTCTTTACAAAATCAGTTTATGCTATTATTGCTAATTCCAATTTTTTAAAAAAGCCCATAAAAGAATTCTCTCTTCTTATTCCATCCTTCCTTTATTCCACCTAGAAAGCCCTGACTCCCAGCAGTATGACATTTACTCATCTGCTCAACTTAAACTACAAGAGGAATGCCAGAGAAACTGTACCCACTCATGAGGCTCAGTATTCTTTGCTTTTATGATCTTTAAAAGGTCTGGCTCTCTCTTTTTCTGTGGTTGTTTCCTCTTTGATAAACAGGCTTATTTCTGTATATATTCAATGCTGGGTTTTTCTTCTGTTTTATTCTTTACTTTATGTTATTTTATGTTATAAACTTGTAAAAATACCATGGCGTTACAGTTAAAAAAATTTTTTTTTTTGAGTTGGAGACTCACTGTCACCCAGGTTGGAGTGTTTTGCATGCTCATGGCCACCACAGCCTCAACCTGCTGGGCTCAGGTGATCCTTCCACTTCAGCCTTCCAAGAAGTTGGAACTACAGGAGCATCCCCCCTTGCCAGGTTAATTTTCTGATTTATTGTACAGACAAGGTCTCGCCATGTTGCCCAGGCTGGTCTCGAACCCCCGGGCTCAGACAACCTTCTTGCCTCCACCACCCAAAGTGCTGGAATTACAGGTGTGAGCCACTGCGCCCATCCAGTGTTGTAGTTTTAATATATTGATTCTGTGATAGGGCTTTAGTGAAGTAATCCTATTGTCATGAGACCAAATGATTTAAGAGGGAAGAAAACGCTGAGTTTCTACTATGTGCTAGGTTCTTTATGTATGATCACATGTCACTGGCACAAAAACAATCAGGTAGTGATCATAAACTCTCCTTTCAAATGAGACAACTTAAAGAGATCCAGTAATTTAATAGTCTCATGGCTAGAGAGTCAAAGTCAGTATGGGCATCCAAGTCCGTCTGAGTCCAAAGCCCCTTTATTTATTGTATTAACTCATATTCATGGAGTCCTATCATATATATTGTAGGACAACGTGCTACACTCATTCAACCCAGAAAAAATATCTTTCATTTATATTTACTATTTACCAATAAGGAAATTGAAACTTACACTATCCTGAGATGGATGGTAAGTTACAGCAGGTACCTATTATGAAATAATTACTTATCATTTCAGATGCATTTGACAGCTCTAACATAGTTCCTGAGTCACCATGCATACACCCCAGTCGAGGCTGCCCTGCGACCCTCTGCCTTCTTGTTTCAGTTCACACACTATACACAAGTGTCCTCTCATGGTCCGTCTGGTGCCACATTTCACATTTTTGTGAGTGACTTCCTGTTTAAAATGTGTGCTGAAGTGATGTCTGATGCTCCTCATTGCAAGCAGCCATGTGCCATATGAGGGAAATAAGTGTGTTAGGCAGGCTCTGTTCAGGTGTGAGTCATAGTTGCCATCTATAAGCACAACGACTGACAGTGAATCCACTGTATATGAAATAAGGGCTCTTTAAACAGAAACACAACTAAGACAAGATTACGCCTTGACCAGAGGCTTGCAGGAGGCCAAACTCCGCCTTTCCCATAGGAGAAGTGATTCCATGTTCTTTAACGGGGTGTTCCCTGTGACTTTACAGGTCATAATACTCTGAATAATGAGAACCAATTTTACCTGCATGTTTGTGTGTGTGTGTGTTTGTGTGTAAAGATCTTCCAGGTATGGGTGATGACAGTGGAGGGCGGGGAAGTTGTCTAAGGAGACTCTTAAGCCAAACCTACAGTTTTTAAAAAACAAATAAAAGAGGGGTGGAGGTCTAGGAGACTCACCGGCAGTAACACAAATGTTTAGACGGCAGACCAGCACAGAAAGATCCTGCTGATCCTAAGCCTCACGCTCCTCATCACCACATGTCCCTCACTTTATTTTCACCACAAAACAGGAGGAACTGACCACACTGAGCAGGACACCTGCTCCCTTCAACTACAGCAGAATACAAAACTCCACAGGAACGTACCTGCTTGTATTTTTCTCGATTGTGTTTGTATGGTTCCCAGTATATCTGAGATTTGTTTAGAACCCAAGTAAAACAAACGGCTCCTGAAAAAATATACTAGCTGGCAGTGAAGAGGACAGAGACAGAAGAAAGGAATTGAGCTGAAGGTAAAAATATTTGCTGACACCACTATAACATATTTAAATGACTGCCAAGAAATTCTTGTTCAAAGGCTAAAAATAAGTCAGTCAGAGACAATTTAGTGCTGCCCATCATTAAAGAAAAACAACATCCCAGGATGTGGTGCCCCACATAAGGCATCATCCATTCAAACTCAGCATATGCCAGGCTCACTATGTCTCTGTTTCAAATGACAGAATTCAGAGGGCATGAACTTTCCAAAATAAGCTTCTGCCAAGATTCTCCACCATCACAAGGCTGTGGCTTCTAGTGGCCGGAGGACATTTTTTTGAAAAGGCCTTGAGTGTATGGACTAGTGGAAAGCCATTATCTAAACTTCTTAGGAGAACCTGTGACATGGAGCTATGTTTTCCATATAGTCCTGGGGTCTCCCACATACTGTGGACTCAGAACACAGGACTGGAGTTGCCTGGATCAGCAGAGAAGCCTCAGTCTTGTTATGAAAAAAGGGCGAGGCCCCAAGAAACACTGCCACTCTTTTCCATCCTGGTGAAAAGCACCAGCATTATACATACTCTTTTTTTCTTTGAGGTATAGCACAACTTTAATAGACAAAAAGACAAACCATTAAGAAATTAAGCTGATATGCTAAAGTGTTATTTTACTCCAAATATAGAGAACAGTATTTATTTACATGTACTGGAAAATTTCAGTACTACTGCTCAACTCGAACGCAAATCAATAACAGCTCCAGCATCCATGGGGTTGATAGGCATTTGCTTGGAAGATGAGAGTTGGACATTTCTATACTTAAAAAACTGCTGTCTTGGTAAGAAACTGAAGCAACCAACAGTCACATATCCTCATGAAAACACCCTTAAAACTCACATGACTAAGGCTACCGGTTCTGGAGCTCCTACAACCCACGTACCTGACCAGTTAACAGTTTGTTACTGGTCGGGCATGGTGGCTCAAGTCTGTAAACCCAGCACTTTGGGAGGCAGAGAGGCAAGAGGATTGCCTGAGCTCAGGGGTTCGAGACCAGTTTGACTCTACAATTAGCTAGGTGTGGTGGTGCATGCCTATGGTTCCAGTTACCTGGAAGGCTGAGATGGAAGGATTGCCTTAGCCCAGCAGGTCGAGGCTGCGGTGGCCGTGAACAGCGTGCCACCGCACTCCAGCCTGGGTGATAGAGTGAGACTCTGACCAAAAAAAAAAAAAAGTTCGTTACTATTAGACGAGCACTCTACTAAATGAAGTCTGAGAAAACTTGAGTGTCAACCAGTAAGTTATCCCCAACAATGAGATAATGCACATTTCCATTTTCGGAAAGAGAATTCATTTTCTCTGCTCCCAAAACTCTTCTATCACTGCCTGCCCCATCACCATTCTCTTGACAACAAATTCCACAAAGAAAATCAGTCCATCACCAGATGTCATCTCATGGCAAGTACCCATGTTGCAGCCTGCCTTCCAAAGCTGCCTACACCAGTCAACGTGTGTTGATCCGGCTTTCACTGCCATGGTTGGCACACCAACATAGCAACTGGTAAAGCAGGAACTGAAAACTGATCCATGAACTGGAGAATGATACTTGAAAGTAAAATTTGTAGCAGGTTATTAGAAACATGCTACCCTGAACTTCATTTGTTCATCCAGTTGTTTAAAACATCTCAGCTGATGCTTCTTTAAAAGAAATCAAATCCCAGCCTCCCAAATGCTAGGGCATCTAGCTGGATAAAACATGCTGCCTTACTTACCTAGAGCTGTAAAATCTGAACCAGATTTGAACAGAGCTGATGCTAGAAGCTGAAACTGGAAGAAAAGAGAAGAAAAAGCAATTAGTTGGCTAAGCATCCTGGAAGAAAAGAATTTCTCTACCTCTGACTACTTTCTAGCTACTGTATATCTCTGCACATGAGTTGCATAGGTCTATTCACCAAATAGTGGCAAGAAGAACACCACATTTAAACTAAATAATATGCTGACTTCTGCTGGGCTACTATTATTAGTTTCCAAGATACTACCGAACCTAGTACTGGATTTTTAAAAAATTTACTTAAGCATGTATTTATTAAGGAGTAAAAGGAAAACTGAAATAAAACAGAAAATTACTCATGTGGAAACATATCACATATGGACAGACTGGTGCCTTGGGCATAGTTATTCAATTTTTAGTACATATGCATTCTCACCTCAAAAATAAATATATGCTATGGTAATAAAACACATCATGTCTCAGTTGTGTAAATCCAGCCCTGGGAAAAAAGCATGCTAGACCATGTCTAAATTACAACTCTGGATTGGGATTCCACAATCATCTATGATTATATTGATAAAACTCAAAGGCCTTTTTTGATGGAAATAATATTGTAAATGCTGATCAGACTTCCAGGCTAGTCAGACAATGTCACTGAACAATAAAGAAGCTAAGTAAGACAAATTATTGCAACATTAGCAATTTAACAAATGGATACCAAATACAAATTTAGGGGAACTGCATATATTTAATCTTGAATGAGGATGCTGGGAAAAAAAGGCAAGTTAAAGGAATGAATACAAGTGGACACATGAGTAGGATCTCAGCAGAGTTACTGAGCATGTCGCAAAGCTCCTGTGGTTAACACCACAGAGTTCTCAGGATACATTCCTTCACATCTATGTTTGCAGTCTTTAAAACTTAAGACGTCAATCATATTAACATTTGTAAACCCTGACTAATGGTCCTTTGAAGATCAGAAACTGGACAAACGTTCCAGAGGTGTTGATTGAGGCAAGTGTTAAAGAAAGAGGGTTTAATAAAGAGTTATAGATACGTGAAAGTTCCTTCTACATTCTGAGTGTCAGTTCTGTCAGGTAAATCTACTGCAAATGTGTGTCATCTGTGGCTTGTCTATCTAATGATGTCTTTTAATCAGAAATTTTAATTTTGTGGAAGTCCAATTTGTCAAGTTTTTTCTTTTATGATTAGAGCCTTTTGTGTCCTGTCTAAGAAAACTTTGTTCTCCAAAGTTATGAAGACACTCGCCTATGTTTCCTTCTCGAAGCTTTAATTGTTCTGGGTTTTATATTCAGATCTGTAATTCACCTTAATGTTTGTGTAAAGAGGGAGATGGGTGTTAAAATATCCAGTTATTCAGTATCACTTGTTAAAAACTTTCCCTTCCCAGTTGGACTTGGCACCCTGCTCAAAAATCAATTGGCTGCATACATGTGGGCTAAGTCTGGACTCTGTCGTATAGATTATCTGCTTTTCCTTAAGTCAGTACCATACTGCCTTGATTACTGTGGCTTTACATACAGTCCTGACATTAGTTAGTAAAAGACTTCCAACTTTTTCTTTTTCAAAATTGTTTTGGCTACTCTAAAACCTCTGCATTTCCATCTAAGTTTTAGAATCAATTTTTCTATTTCCTCAATGACAACAACAACAACAAAAACCAAATTTGTAATGCATTAAACTAAATACCAATTTGGGGAGAATGGTCAGCTTTAAACAATTTTTAGTCTTTCAGCCATAAATTTCCCTCTCCGTTTATTGATCTTTAATTTCTTACAACAGACATTGCTACACAGTTGATATTTTTTGATGCTTATATAAATAGTATGCTTTAAGTTTTCATTTTCTAATTGTTCATCACTAGTAGAAAAATAATTGCTTTTTCCCCCATTGACCTTGTACCCTGTAACCTTGGTAAATTTACAGGATACAGTATATTGTTTTGTTGGTTCCATGGAGTTTTCTATGTACATAATCATGTCGCCTATAAATGCAAACAAATTTACTTTCTCCTTTCCAATCTGTATGCTCTTTATTTCTTTTTCTTTCCTTATTGCACTAGCTAGGACTTCTGGTACAAGTTGAACAGAGGAGTTGACAGCATATATTTTTTCTTTGTCATGATCTTAGAGGAAAGGGTTTAATGCTTCACAATTAAATATAGTATTAGCAGTCTATTTTTCATATACCCTTAAGAGATTTAAGAGGTTCCTTTTTATTACTGTTTTGTTAAGGATTTACATTGTGAACGAGTCTCCATTTTGTTAGGCGCTTTATTTATTTTTTTTGAGTTGGAGTCTCACTCTGTTGCCCAGACTGGAGTGCAGTGGGCTCCTGGCCACCGCAGCCTTGACCTGCTGGGCTCTGGTGATCCTTCCCCCTCAGCCTTCCAAGTAGCTGGAACTACAGGCATGCGCTACCACGGCCGGCTAATTTTTGATTTATTGTAGACATGAGGTCTCGCCAAGTTGCCTAGGTCTCGCCAAGTTGAACCCACGGGCTCAGGCAATCCACTCACCTCAGTCTCCCAAAGGTGCGGGATCACAGGCTGAGCCACTGAGCCCGGCTAGACGCTTTTCTTCACATATTGAGATGATCTATGAATTTTCTCCTTCATTCTGTTAACATGGTGAGTTACACTGAATTTTTTTTTTTAATGTAAAATTAACTATATATTCCTTGGCTAACCACCCTCTGGGTCATAGTGCATTAACCTTTCAATATATTGCTGGATTCAATTTGCTAAAATTTTCTTAGGAATTTCATGGCTATGTTTATGAAGAATACAGGTCTATCATTTTGCTTATAATATCTTTGTTGGGGTTTATATCAGAGTTAAGCCGGTTTCATAAAAGTATTTAGGAAGTGCCTATCTTCCTTTAATTTCCGCAAGTCTATGTAAAATTGTAAAGTCTATGTCAAATTTTCTGTTAGAAATTTCTTTTTGTTTTTTGATTGGGGGTCTCACTGTCACTCAGGCTGGAAAGTGGCAAGATCTCACCTCAGTGCAGCCTTGACCTCCTGGGCTCAGGCGATCCTTCCACCTCAGCCTCCCAAGTAGCTAGGACAAAAAAGGTACACCACCATACCCAGCTAATTTTTTAATTTTTTGTACAAGCCGGGCTCGGTGGCTCAGCCTGTAATCCCGCACCTTTGGGAGGCTGAGGTG